TATATATATATAATATATTCTTTTAGAGTACAACTTTTTTTCACAAAGGAGCTTAAATGATTAAAGGGCTCCATTATATATAACAGCTCCTATGAACCTAAATCCATGGTGAGTACTCTAATAAAGATCCAAGATGGCCTCACTCTAGAAGACGGCTTTCTCATACTCGAGATCTCCAGTTTCTAATGGCTGCATTATGTCTTTGGATAGAAAACATTATTTTTTTTTCCCAACACCTTTTAAAAAATGTGTTCAGAGTATTTAAAGAGTGATTATATTTCAGTGAACAAAGATTCTTTGAGAGATGAATGTAAACACCAAGCAGCAGAATTGGTTTAGAACTGTTCAAAATGTAGTCTTCCTGTAATCAAGATCTGCATAATCATCACCTGCTGCTTGGATTACACTGTGGCAGATGAACCACAGTTAACTGAATGTAAGGTGAAAAGGGATATATTCACCATCAAGTTGACAAACACTCAAGCTGGGTAAATATCAGACAGACAAGTGGTATCATAACCCATGTCAGTGGGACATTCACTAACTGCAAAACTCAGTCTCTACTATGATAAAATTGACCTTCGGCAGAAGCATGAAAAGAAATCCTTGTTTCCTGTGAGACGTCCTGCTAATCTACTCACTTAATATTACTTCTGATCACTAGCTTAACTGAAGAGTAAAATCAGTAAGTGAAGCAGGAGCTGATGTGTCCAGAGGTATAGGCAGGGCACATGGAAGAGTTTTCTTTCATGTGACAGTGGCTTTTTCTGGCTTCAGGACCAAGATGGTAGGAGAGCGTATAGGAAAAGCCACCTGTACTTTCAAACCACTTACCTTGCACTAGTAGGAATCCTTCCATTGCCTGTTTTAGATTTCTATAAAGTTAAAATTCTTAGCAGATTTGTAAATAAATAAAATAAAGCAAGCTAGAAAGGAGGCTCCGTACATGAATGCTCTTTCCACAGCCTCACTTTACTGTCTGTGAATAGAAGCCCTTCCCTCCCTTCCAGTGGAACATTGTCTCAAAATAAAAATCACAACTTGTTTGCAACCACACGCTACTGGTGCATCCTGTGTTTAGGCTGCCTTCATTATTTTATTTTTTATACAGATACATATACACTGCTAGAATCAAAGCAAAAATCTTAATGGGCAGGTACTACAGAACTAAAGTAAAACCAACAAAACAAACAAAAGAACCAATATTAACTGAAAACAGCTATAAATTTTCAAGGCCAAAAGATAAAGTTTTGGGCAACATCTGTTGAGGAAGGAAAAGTAGGAATATAAAGTTTCTAGAGAGGTATTTATAATGTAAGTCTAATGCCAGCTTTTAATAATCATTAAAAAAAAAAAGAAGTGCTTTACTATACACTGACTAGCACATATAATGCTTAACTGGGCAAGAAAAATGAATGAAGTTCCTTGGGCCAGCAGCAGATATTGGTGTGCCCATTGCCGGCAACAGACACAACACTGAAACAGAAAAACCTAAACCCCAGGGCGAAAAGATTCACAGAAGTAATGGTTGAAGGTTTCAGAATTTGACACGAAAGGTTTAATCACAAGTGCTAGACTCTGTACAATGTTATGGCTCTGCCTGAAATTTTACAGCTGTAACAGAAACTAAATAAGACAAAGTTCGTATTTTAGTGTCAATCACAATGTTAGATAATGAGTTAGTCACAAACCCCTTTTTCTCGGAACAAAGGGCTCCCCTTTCTGTAAAGTATTGAGATGTCTGAAATGATGTCATGCCTATTAAGTGTATAGGCAGTTCTCGTTCAACTCTACGTTGGTTGTGTGACCATTAATGATTTTGAATATAAGTCTAACAGCCAAAGGCCAAAACTACATTCGGACCCTGCTAATATATTCAGGCAGATAGGAAATTCCAACACACACGCACACACACACACACACATACATATATACACACACATACATGCTAAAACTCAAACTAAAAACCTCCCAAAGGAACTGCTTTGTTTGTAGACTTCAATTTGAAGTAGATACTCAGGGCAAGAATAGACCAGTTAAAATTCACCTGAAAATCCCTTCCCCATTTTCAAATGTGCTAAAATACCGCTGTCAGCCTAGCATCTCTTCACGTGTTATACATGTATTTCTTTCAAAATGGTATTTCAGATACTTCAACATCAAGTGGCCAGAAGACAAGAGTTACATGATGGCAAAGTTTAGTCCACCTGGGCCTTGAGAAGACCGCACTCATTTCACTAATAATGTTCCATCAGGCATATTGGAGGCCACTGTATCACCACTGCATAAAGCTATTTCGAAAAATATGTTGCTAGCACAATCTGGTTGTCAAAGCGTCATTTATACATTTTACTATATGAATGCTTTTCAGATGATTTTGTTTTTGTTTTTTTTTTTTTAAACAAGAAATTTCACTCTAACAGAAACTTAGGTTAAAGTTTTTTACGATGGTACCTTCATGGTCTCTTCTTTATTAAGTGTGGTTATCTCCAAGAGTAAACAAGTTGATTTCACGAAGGCTGTTACTAAATGACTTACGTATGATGTTATCTACAATTCCAAACTGCAACAATACAGACCTGAACTTTTAAACAGTCTGTTAATCATCTTCTATGCCATGAATGTTTAAATATAATATATATTTAATACGAAAAAGCCAAAGCACAAGTGCTTTCACCCCTAAATTCTGTTTTGGGCCCTCACAGATTCGGAATGCATTCTTATCCACCCATTTGCACAAAGTCAGGAGAGCTCAGGAAATATAAAGTCAAAAATATACAAATCTTTTGTTGTTATTATAATAAGATTTTTTTCCATGAATGAAATTACCAAGGACCATGAACTTGGAAAAACAAAAATCAAAAGGAATTTACAGCAATTATTTATCTTCAAAGTTCAAAACTGGTCACTTCACAGAAAGACTTCAGGGTTTGTTGAAATTATTCTTCTAAAAAGTCATTCTGTAGTGGAGTTTTCTAGGAAAAATTAAACAGCTTTTAATAACTGGCCCGCTGGTGTGAGAGCTACCGTGGAATAAATTAGCATAAAAATGGAAAAAAATTCTTATAACTGTTCACTGTTACAGACATAATCGACAAGGTCAGTCACTCTCAAAAGCTCGTCTTCCTCCTCTTCTGGCGCCCCTGCCTCCTGGGCCCCACTTGTCCCATTGGGGGCCAGGCTCGCGCTGGCGGTGCTGCTGTCCCTGGGGGTCTGAGGCTTCTCCGCTGGCTTACCAATCAAGTTCTCAATGGCTTTGCCAGGACTCTGCCCATTGGTGGAAGGCAAGTCCACTAAGCTATAGTCCAATGGGCTCCCCACTTTGCCTACATTGTCAAAGTCCTCCTCATCGCTTTCTATCCGGTACGGCTTCTTGGTGCTCTCTTGCTCCGAGGGCAGGACCCTGGGCTGACTGTCCTGGGCATGCTGGTCTGCATCTCCATGAGAATTGTCACAACTCTCCTCATCAGTCTCAATCCGGTGTAGCCGTTTCCGGGACGGTTTGCCTTCCTCTTCCTCTTCCTCATCTACTTCTGAATACTCATCGGTGCTCCGGCCACGCTTTCGAGCTGACCGCTTTGACTCCTTAGTTAGTTCATCATCCTCAGAGTTCTTGGACAGATAGCTCTCTAGAATAAACAGCACATTTAAGCCATTGGCACGATCAACCATAAATAGATGTAAGGGATTTTACTTTTCTCCCCGTATTTACCCATGTCCCATTTCCAGACTGTCTTGCACCAAAATGCTTCCTTTCCCTAACTGGCCTGCTTTCTCTGCCTCCTCAGTATCGTGACGATGTCCAACTTGACTCATTGGGCACACTTAGCCACTACTTTAGAAAACAGCACATCGCCTGGGGATGAAATCTGACAGTCCTCAAATTAAATGAAATAGGTTGGTCATAAACTTAGAAATGTCTTCCCACTACAACTCAAATTAGGAAATCAGGCAAACATATTGATAATATTAAAACTGGGCCAACTCTGCACATCGGAAACACCATGCCACTCTCATCTCATGTTATAAGTGCCCTCGGTAGTCCTTAAATGCCTTCTCTTTTGTTCATCCTTACGTCTCACCCATCTTGTGGCTTTGCATACATCTGTATGCAGATAATGCTCATATTTCTTTTCTAAATTCTAGACCCATATATCAAATCATCTGTTTAACATCTGTGGTTAGCTATCTAACAGACACTTTAAACCTAATGTGTCCAAAACTGAGTTCCCAAACTGTCCCCTCAAACATGCGGCACCACAGTCTTTGCCATCCAGTTTTGGGCACTCTACTGTTTTGAACACTCAGCCATCCCTGATTCCTTGCTTTCTCATGTTCGACTCAATGGTAAATCCCATGGGTCTACCTTTAGGACATGTGTGTAACTAGACTGCTTTCCACCCTCTCACCGTGACTGCCCCCAGTCACCGGCCATTAACTCCTACTCGGACTATTTCAGTAATTTCCCAACTAGCCTTCATCCCTCTGCCCTTGCACAATCCAATCCAAGCATAACACATCTATTAGGTTGTTGGAAAAGTCATGATGCATTTTTGTGTAGAGAAATTCGTCACGACTTTCCCAACAACCCAATACTATGGCAATTAAAATACAAGTGAGACCATAATACTGCTTTGGTTGAAATTCTGATTGTCTCCCATCTCACAGAATAAAATCTAAAGTGTACCGTGGTCTACTCTGTGCTATCCAGTAGGGAAGACCCTAGTCACATGTGATTATCTGAAATCTTTAAAAACTTTCCCAGACAGAGACACAGGCAGAGAGAAAGGGGATGAAAGCACCCACCAATGGGTGGTGGGTGCTTCACCACGGTCATGATACAAGGCCTTCATATTTCTCCAGCCTGTTGTGAATTGGGGCACAACTGCACATGTGCTTAGTATGCCATCCCATGGTTGGCTATGCTTTGACATCTGGTTCACCTATTTTAAATTAAATTAAGGGATAGCTGGTGGTGTGGTAATTGGGATGGCTGGATGCCACATGGCCAACTGCATTGTTTGAATTCTGGAGTGGCAGCTTGGGAAACATGTCAGGTACATGTGTGTGCGTGTCCAAAATCTCAAAAAGAAAACTGGAGGAGGAAGGATTGCAGTGTGACCATTCCATGTGGGAAGTGGTTTCTCATTTTCCCTCCCTCCCTTTCTGTCTCTCCTGGTTGAGCAAACAAACCCTCTAGGAAAATTAAAAATTCAGTTGCGGGAGCAGCAGATGGTATAATAATTATATTGCTGGACTCCCACGTAGGTGACCATGGTTCGAGTCCCAGACCTGGTGCTTTAAACTCATGCCAGGCAAATGTGTGTGTGTGCCCAAAATTCCAAAGGAGACTGGAGAAGGGACTGCAATGTGGCCATCCTCCCTGAGGGGTGATTTCTCACATAAACGTTACTGGCTACTGTACTGATCAGAACACGTCCATGACTACAGAGGGTTCAACGGGACATTACTGCTCTTCATTATAGGCTAGCAAATTATTTCTGCACAGAGCAGACTTTAAAGTCTCTGCCACAACTCCTGAGAAATAATGCAGCTAGGGACCAGGAGTTAACGTAATGGCTATATCGCTGGACTCCCATGTGGTCAACTGCGGTTTGCATCCCGGAACCGGTGGCTTAAAACTCACGCCAGGCGTGAATGCGTGTGTGCCCAAGATCCCAAGAGGAGAATGAAGGAGAAGGGATTGTGGCGTGGCCATCCCCCCTGGGGGGTGATTTCTCACTTCCTGTCTCTCTGTCTCTCTCTGTCTGTCTGGCAAGCGCACGTGCCCTGTAGCAAAAAACTCTTAAAAAAAAAAAAAAAGAAATAATGCAGCTACAACAGACCAACAGGTAGCCTGGAGGTTAAGGCACTGGATCCCATATGGTCTCCTGCATGGTTCAAAGCCTGGACCTGGTGGCTTAAAAACCGCTAGGTAGGTGTGTGTGAATGCCCAAAACCCCAAGAGGAGACTGAAGCAGTGTCTTCCAATAAAATGATCTGTATAAAGCTTACTCCTACAAACAGATGGGCTATAGTGTGCTGACTGCGGCTCTACACACTCCGGCCCTGACTGATCTCTGTATCATCCATGCTGCTATTCTCTCACCTCTTCATTCTTCTGCCACAACCCTGGACTCTCTTCTGTTCCTTGAATATGCCAAGTGTAAACCTGTGTCAAGGCTGTGACGTTTGCTGTCCCATCCCCTGTACATTTCTTAGACATGGAAATGATGCGCAGTCAATGCTTCTTTCAGGTCTTCACCTAAATGCTGTCTCCCTAGCGAGGGCTTCTTTTAGCACACTCCCTGAAATCCCAGCTACTCTCTCAACCCCCTTTCACCCTGTAGTTGCTCTCCACAGCATTTATATTCATCTACTAGATCAATATATTATATACATTTAGTATAGGGTGTGTGCATTTGCTGGGAAGAGAGGGGGGGAGAAAGAGATAGACAGAGAATGTAAGAAATCACCCCTCAGGGAACCAGCAGTTAGCGTAATGGCTATGTCGCTGAACTCCCACGTAGTCTACTGCAGTTCATGTCCCGGACCCGGTGGCTTAAAACTCACGCCGGGCACGTGTGCGTACGTGCCCAAGATCCCGAGAGGAGAATGGAAGCGAAGGGATTGTGGCGTGACCAACCCCTCTGGGGGGTGATTTCTTGCTTTCTGTCTCTATGTCTCTCTCTGTCTGGCAAGCGTACATGCCCTATAGTGAAAACCTCTCAAAAAAAAAAAAAAATACCCCCATCAGGGAGGATGGACACACGGCAATCCCTTCTCCTCCATTCTCCTCTTGGGATTTTCAACACACATGGTCATGTGCCCAGCACGTTTTCCAAACCACTGGGCCTGGAACTCAGACAGCACAGCCAGCCATGTGGGATGCAGCTCCCTTAACCCTCGTGCCATCTGTTGGCCCCATTTATTGTGTATTGTCTCTCTCTCCCCTCAACTAAAATAAGAGTTCCCTGAAGGTACAAGTTCATTTTGGGCTATTTTGTTATATTCCCAGTGCTTAGAATAGGCCTAGTTCACTAAATACTCATATTTAATGACTGAAGTAATGCAGTTGATTGTCTTTATGACGTATGACTATAAATACCACTGAAAAAAATGTTCACCTCCCAGTGTTAGCTTTCTGTATCAAACAATTTTCCCTTCTTTCTCTCTTGGCTGAGGCTCAAATTTAACTCATTTTTTTTTTTGAAGAGGTTTTTTGCTATAGGGCACGTGCGCTCGCCAGACAGAGAGAGACAGAGAGATAGAAAACGAGAAATCACCCCCCGGGGAGATGGCCACGCCGCAATCCCTTCTCCTCCATTCTCCTCTCGGGATCTTGGGAACGCACGCACACGTGCCCAGCGTGAGTTTAAGCCACCGGGTCCGGGACTCGAACCATGGTCGACTACGTGGGAGTCCAGCAACATAGCCATTATGCTAACTGCTGGTCCCTCAAATTTAACTCATTTAATGTTTAATCAATGAAAGCAAGCAATCTTCAAATCACATACTAAACAATTTTGAATAAAGTATATAAAAAAAGGTGAGAAAGTAAGAATTGGGTCATTTAAAAAAAAACACAGAAAATGCTCTAGAATACTACACAAAGGCAGAGTTGACAACACATTTTCCTATTTTAGAATTTCTCTTATGCTTCTGGAATGGACATAGCTAAAGCTCTTCAGCAATAAATAGTTCTCAACTGAAGCTCACCATCTAGGCGGAGACACGGTGGGCACTTTAGTTTGGAGTTTCCCGCTAGGCAGGGCATAGGAAGAACATGTATTACATGGGGAAAAGGAAGGAACAGAGTAAATCATGGTCAAATCCTAATTTTCTGTTTCCATGAAGAATTATTGTAATGAGGATCTTAAAAAGTAGCATCTTACCAATTAGCATTTATTTAAGTTACAATTCATGAGCAGGTACAAAACAATGGATTTTCCTCAGAGACGCTATGGTTTACACGACTGTTTTAGACAAGGCACAGAATTTCTGTCTCGCGTTCATTCATAACGTCTGTTTCTACCTTGTCCAGATTTCTGCATAGGGGATCTCTTCCTTACCTTCACTCTCTGAGCTGGAAAGTCTGCGTTTGTGAACTCGTCTTATTTCTTTACCACGACGTATACTTTTCTGGGAACCATCACTTTCTGAATCTTCTTTATAGTTAATTTGCCTTTTCTGGTTCCTCCTTGACCGCCTTCGCCTAGTTTCTACGAAATCATCACTAAAATCATCACTGAAGTCACTTTCTAGTACGAAAATGGAAAGGGAAAAGAAGCACAAAATGAAAAGAAGTCCAAATGCAGCCAGTTTAGTTTATAAAAACATCCTGAAAGAGCAGAATTAAGGCGTAAAAAAATGTAATCGCACAATAACATGAGTCACTCTGTGGGGTCTATCACGCCAAGCCTCACAAATGTATATTACTATATCATTATTTGCACTCATCAGAGAAAGAGAGAGAGAGGATAAGTTAGAAATCACACCCTCGTGGGGGAGGACAACACTGCAATCCCTTTCATTTTCCTCTCAGAATTTTGGGCACTTGTGCATTCTTGCCTGGTATGATTTCCAAGCTGCATGGTCTAGGACTTGAACATCTTGAACAGCCGTCAGCTGTGTGGGAGTCCAGTGCCTTAACCACCACGCCACCTGCTAATCCTCATACATTTTTACAAACATTATTTATTTAACTTATTTAATATTATTATTTTTAAAGTTTGCTATAGTGTATGTCCGCCTGCCAGAGAGAGATAGAGAAAGTGATAAAGGAAGCCACCAGGTCTGGGACTCAAACCACAACTGACTATGTGGGAGTATAGCATCTTAACCACCATCCCACCTGCTGGCCCATCTACACATCTTCTAAAATTTTGCCAGAGGATATGTGTGCTTGCCAGAAAGAGAGACAGTGAAAACCCTACCTGGGGAACGGTTCCTCATAATACCCTCTCCTTCTTTCTGGATTTTGGGCACACATGACTTGTGCCTGGTGTGTTTATAAGCCAGTGATTCCAGGACTCAAATTTCTGTCTTGCGTTCATTTATAACATCTTTCTACCTTGGTGGCTGGCCCTGTGAGATCTGCCTGCCTTAACCACCACACCGCAGTAAGTCCATATACTTTTTTTATAATTATTTTACTTGTTTCCATTCATTCCAGTCTTTCATACTGGATACTGATCATCTGGACCTGTTTTCTCTATGTCTATTCTTTTGCAATTTCAATTTATTTGTTTTTCTTGGAAATTATTTATTTTATTTTATTTATTT